AAAGCTGAAGGGAAAAAATGGTAAAAGACTCAACCTTCTGATCACTCCTTACTGAGAATTGCGATCTTCAAGATCGTGCTGACCAGGTGAACAATTGCCAATTGTAGTTGCATAATTGGGAGGGCTTTTGCCTTAATATTAATCTGTGAAACCTGCTGAGTGTTTAATTAAAAAACTCTTTCAGTTCTAATAGCAATAAGACTTATATATTGCTTCACAGTGCTTTTACAGCCCTCTCTAAGCGATTCACAGAGTCAGCATAATGTTCCCAACAATCTGAGTCCTCATTTTACCCACCTTGGAAGTATGGAAGGCTGAGTCAATCTTGAGCCATTGAGAACTGAACTGCAGCCAGCAGAAGTAGCCTGCAATACTGCATTTTAACCACTGCACCACTGCGGCTTTACTAATAATCTTAGTATATATCTTAGTAGAACAATAACTACATTCTAAAATGCAGGCAGAAGAATGAAGGGACAGGATTGAAGCTTGATATTAACAAAAATAAAGACTTTCCTTTGAATTAACTTAAATCTTTATAACCAGTAAACTGGTTGAATCTTTAAGCTGTGAAAAAAATTAGATGGTGGTTTGCTGAAATCAGCATGGATTTATTAAGAAAAATTCTTGCAATTTGACTTCATTTTTTATCAAGTGAGGTTCAGCAATAGATGTATAGTACAACTACAAATATACAGGGAGTTCTCGACTTAAAACCACAGTTGAGCCCAAAATTTCTGTTGCTAAAGCTAGACAGTTGATGCGTGAGTTTTGCCCCATATTACAATCCTTCTTGCAAAGTTGGTAAATGAATCACTGCAGTTGTTAAATTAATAACACTAACACTAGTATTGGAAGAAATTGGAACGTAAAACTGACTTTAAAGTTGTGAAAAGGTAAAGTATTTGGGGGTGATTCTTACATATGAAAATTCTAAGTTATATAAAAACAACTAAGTTAAAATATGGAAGGAGATAAAGTTGTATTAAAACAGATGACAAAAAATAGAATTGTCATTGATGGGAGGAATTTCAGTAATTGATGTACTACCTGGAAGGCTATTTTTATTCCAGATCATACTGATATTGGTAGAAAGATATATCTAAATTCATTGGCAAAATAAAAAAAACCCATGAATTAAATACAAGCTCTTATAATATTCAAAAGAGAGAAGAGATCTGGTTTGCCAAATTTTAGATTATACTATATTTGTTGTTTGGTATGTTTAAAAAACTCAAGATTGTTAGACCTCAAAGGTTCTGATTTGAAATTTGGGTGGCATGCTTATTTGTGGCATGACAAAATAAAAGTTAACCCTAGTTTTAAGAATCATATTATTAGGCAATCTATTGGGGTGTATGGTGGAAATATAAAAGAAGATTGGCTGAGAACACTACATAGAACAGAGATGTTATTGTGATGTAAATGGATGACATAGTGGGAGTTATTGATATTTGAAAAAGAGGGACCAAAGATAAAGACAAGAGAACAAGAGCAAGTGAAAAGTTTGTGATTGGATTAATTATTGTAGAATTTTTAATAGATTTAACCATGATTAAAAAAAAGTTGTTTTCACAGGCGTTAAATCTGAATTAGATATTTATGTTTTGGTTGCAAAAGTATATAAAATGTTACTCAAGATGAATCTGGAAGACAAATATGTCAAATACTGTATTGTAAAATGGACAAAAAATAGGGATAACATAACACTAGATAAATGAGATAATATATGGACTAATGGAGTAAAGTTGCTTTGAATTATACTTTGAAAGAAAATAAAATGATGTATCATAGGTATTGGACTTCAGATAAATTAGTGAAAATGTATAAGAGGAACTTCTAACAAATGGTGGAAATGTAATCAAAATCCAGATATATTTTATTGTATGTGGTGGTCTTGCAATATGTGAAAACTTTCCAGATAAACATGATAATGCAGAAAATATTTGAGATACAAAAATTAATGAAACCTGAAGCTTTTCTTTTGGTATTATGGATCAGTCAAAAACAATTTGGGATGTTATTTTTTTATATGTTGACAGCTGTGATGACTGTATTCATTGAGCACTGGAAAGGAAAAGAGATGCCGACTGTTGAAGAATGGATTTTAAACTTGACAGAATTAGCAGTGATGGCAAAATTAACTGTTTTGATTAGAAGCAATGTACTAGACAGCTTTATAAGAGACTGGAAGCTGTTGTGGACATGCTACGAATTAAAAACAATAACAGATGATTAACAGAGGGATTTGAAGACTAGGGTCATATTCAGGCTAATTTGTTGAGTGTTCTTTTTTTTACTTTATATATATTATGGTTAGATGCTGGGTCAATTTGTTTATTAAAGACTCATCTGAAATATTTTTATATATTTTTCTTGCTAAATAAGGATGAGAACGCTTAGAATTATTTGCAGACCCATTATGTAAGTGGAGGATAATTTATCCGGATTTTTAATTTTTTTTAAGCATCCAACCAGGGTGGTTTTTTTTTGTATATTCAATGTTAGACTTATTTGATGTTTGTGTCATTTTTTTCTTTGTACACATTTTGTTACTGTTGGGTGTCTGTTTTTCTGTTTTCCGTTTTGCATTTTATTCTTGTTGATAAAACATAAACATATCAAGTCATGTTTTATATAACATTCTGCTTTCTTGATAGCATTAGCAAAACCAAGCAGAATGGTCCAATACATACAAAATAAAATCTCACTGAATTAAACGGAATATACTTTTGCCTAGCTTCACAGAGGATTGCAGTGTGAAACTTCATTCAGGACAGTACTGTAATTTGGAAACCTTTTCATTTTTTTGCTGCAGAAAGGGTACAGGACAAAAGATATGTTAAATGTTAATTCCAACATGTTTTATAAATACTGCAACTTTGATAAGGAGAGTAAAAAGAAAAAAGGCAGCGCTATAATCTGCTTCATTTAAATAGAACTTTTTAATTACCCAAGAGAGGTAAGAAGACTTTTCTCATCCTTCACACCTCTAGCCTGCCCCAGCAAGCTCCAACTACAACTCCCAGCAAACATTACTTCTGGAAACTTTGAGGGAGCTGCTGAGGGCAGCTTGGCGATTCTTCTATTTGTAGATGGATTTGTTGAACCAAGTCTTGGTATTTTTACCTGCTATATGCGGAGAAACTGGTGGTTGTTGACCTCAGTGGATTTGGAGACTGTTGCTGCATCAACAGCAGCATTGACGGGTTAAGAAGATACTTCTAGTTTGGTGTTCGTGTTAGCCTCCAAATTTATTCATAACTTTGGGCTTCCCTTGGATGGTAGCACTTTACAAGTGTTAACTGAGCAGGGTTGGCAATAGTTGAGTTTTGGACTCTTGCCATCCTCATGGGCAGGTTGCTACTTTGCTGTTTAGTCTCTTTGATTATCATATTAAAATCGGTTAAGGCAAGGTAGGTAAGGTGAGTTGCGCACCTGCTACAGTTTTAAGATGTACAAAAGGTAGATCAGGTGAGGAGATCTGGCATACAGTCTTCACTTGCACACCCGTGGGAATTCAGCCCTAACACGCAGCAAGGGAAGGGCTGAAGGAGTGAACAACTTCCTAGACAACAAATGTAAAATTTCCTACTCTCTGCATAATGATTTGTGGGGGAGGGGGTGGGGAGAGATTGTGCATTACATTGATTAGTTTTGTTATATTTAAACATGAGTGAAATCTCATCATTCACACATTACATATGTTATTTATTTTTTTGAATGTAAGATTTTAAAAGCACCAAACAAGGATATTGTAATAGCAGGATAACTTTGTTGTGTTGTTGGAATAAGCAGATGGAATATCGTCAATAAAATGCTGCTATGAAGTTCTCCCGTTTAGTCTTTCAGCTGCTCCTCTTTTTGTTCTCTGTCCCTCTTACTGAATTTCCTTAGAATTATATTGTTTCTCCCCACTACCTCATTACTGAATGTTTCAAAGAATGTCTCTACTTCATAAGATTATTTCTGATCCTTTTGATAACCTTTTGTGTGAGCAATTTTAACCACATGCGTTGGAAGAACTTGAGGGATTGAATCATTGTCAATAGGCAATTTACTTTCATGCAATATGGCTGTTAACAGTGGTATTCTTTTGGATCAAATTAATTTCCTATATGTTGTTCTGAAAGACTTGCTATTTTTTGTAGATATTCATGTTCTTAAGTACATAACTGATTTTGAAATAAACTAAAGGATTATAAAAATAAATGGCTTATTTCATTTTTATGATTCTAGGGTACTTTCCTGTTAGAAAACACGCAAGACTAATCTGAATAACTTATTCATTTGTTTGAATAAATAGATTTAAATGTGAATAATTCTACAACGTAATACATATGTGGATGTGTATAGCAGATTCCTGCTAATTGTGAATTTTGTATTTGTGAATTTGCTTACTCAAATTTATTTGCAACCGCAAATCAATACCTGTGGTGCATCATCCTTATGCAGAGCAGGGAAAAAATTGAGTCTTCTGATAGGCATGTTTCCAGTTGAGGTTTCAATATCTGTTACTGTTTAAGGTGATTGTATAGAATGGAACTACCACAAATAATACTACAAATGACAAAATTGTATCTTGTTACCTGACTATCTAGACACAGAAACATGTAAATCTAGTTTTTATGAGTATTCACTTTCCCCCCCTCTTTTTGCGCATTATTTTAAAGTAAGTTTTGAATAGTTCCCAGTGTAATCCTTTCACATCAATATTGGCTGCTTAAATTGGACACTGATATCCCAGTTCCAATTAAATTCAGAAGTCTTTCTCCTTGTTGCAGGGGCTGCATATGATAGGTTTGATTGGTGTTATACTGAAGGACTCATTTAGTTGAAGACTATTCTTTTTGCAGATATTTTTCAGAGCAGAGACCAAACTAATTAAATCATATCCAACTATCCTAATTTTTCAGAAGTTCAACACTATATAATCACAAAACATTGATATTGTTTTATTGCAAGCTTGTAAGAATACATATACACACCCCAAAATTACACTGTGTTCAGTAATTTATTCCACACTCAAGTACTGAATTTAGTAATGAGTATCTGTTAATGGAAAAATATCTGCCAAAGGAAGAGCAGATGTATGGTATATGTAGAAGTAATTTAACAGAACCCAGTCTTAAAACAATTCAAAGATCATAGTCTAATAGATCCAGTATAGAATAGCAAGTACGACACAGAAATTGTCAGAAAAATGATAAAAATTATTGTCAACTCTTAGTAATTTTATATTTTGTATAAGAAGTATCAAAATTTTGATGCATAATATAAAAATTCTAATTACATTTAAATAACATCAAAGGATAACAAGCAAAAAAGATGGCAAATTTAATACCAGTAAAGATCATTGCCTTTAGTCCAAAATTCTTTCTTTGAACAGCAGGAAAAAACCCTGGTTGTATAGTTATCAGCTAGATTTTAAACATTCATTTTTCTACCAACTTTCATTACACAATATTAGAAAGCAAAACATTGCATCTCAGTAGTAATCAGAGCAAAAAACTAACACCAAGAGTAGAAAATTTTCTGCACAAACACAGAATTGCAGCATCATGAAAACTTTTAGAATTTGGGATGCTTACTTGTTAGAAAATACAGTCAGCAAGAACCAGGTGTTCTAAAAGGATGTTTTTTATAATATGTTAGAACTTTTTTAATATTCTTAATTTCTATTACAGTGCAAGAAAAATGGCCCAGGCCTGTTTCATACTTAACATGGGACAAATGTTGCATATAAAGTTCTTTCATTGAAAAAGAGCTATAGCAACATATAGAGATATGTGTATGTGTGTATGTAAAATTTTATCTTCTCCACTGTGTCAACGGGAGAATCCAGATTGGGTAGTCTCTTGTCTTGTGCTCTTCAGACTGAGTTGAATTTTGAGGACATGCCTCCCTGGTAACAGTCCCCCGTTTTCAACTCAGTCTCAGCTTGTTCAGATGTCTTCCTTAGAGACTCTCAACCTCTCAAAGGACTTCCAATCCCTGGATTCTTTTGATTGACAGATAACTGGAACAAAAGGGAATTTGACAGGCAGGCTGTCCAACTCTGCTGAGAGGACGGCCAGGACAGCGGGCAAGGCCCTGCTGGTGCATTCCGCAGCTGTGGAAGGGGGGTGGAGTCCCTGATGGATCGATCACACTCCTATTTTTTAGATCGCCGCGGCAGCAACGTTTCTGCGTAAGCCTGCCTTTTGGTCTGTGGCAAAGTTCAGGTCCCACTGGCAAACTACCTGGCCGTTGCCATGCTTGCACCTGGAGACTGAGATTCTGAATCGCTGTGACAACTATGCTACCGCATAAGCCTGCCTTTTGAATCGTGGCAAAGGACATGGTCATCACTATCACCGTTCATACGGCACTATAGACTGGACACCTTCGCCTCTGTGGAGCCGGCCTTCGGTAGGCACGTCCTCCAAAGAGTACATGTTGAAGCAGGGACTCCAGACCAGACCAATTCCTGCCCATAGGACAGCCAGCTTTGGTATGTCCCAATCTGGATTCTCCCGTTGACACAATGGAGAAGGGGCATCGGTTTTACCTGAGACTCCCTTTCTCGGGAGTTGACAGGAGAATCCAGCCCCACCCTGAGGACTGTCTGGTCCCAGAGGGGGTACTTTTGGGCTGGAGAAGGACAACAGGATTTGCTTTGGCTTCGTTTCAACTGGGGATCATTACCAGGGAAGCGTGTCCTCAGAATTCAACTCAGTCTGAAGAGCAATGAGACAAGAGACTACCCAATCTGGATTTTCCCGTCAACTCCCTAAGAAAGGGTGTCTAAGGTAAGACCAATGCCCCTTCTCAATGGAACATCCCTGGAGGCTATCTGTCTCTCTGCAGTATTTATGCTAAAAACAGTAATGGTTATATATTTTCTCAGAAAAATAAGTTTTCTTTGTTGTCTGGATAAAACAGAATTTCTGACTGTAGTATGGAGTCCTTGCTACTCTCTAGAGTTTGGTTGTTTGCTTGCAAATGTTACTTTACCCAACTAGGTATCATCTGATAATGTTCACCAATGTTACTGTTTGGGTAATGAAATGTCTGCAAACTAATAACAAAGCTCAGAGAACACCAAGGAGTCTACAGTTCAACTCTGAGCTATACATACAGTATTATCGTCTATTTTAACTGTAATTTGGCAGAAAAGCAGCTTATTCATTTTACCCATTTTACCCAAGGTTGTGGCCCTTCCAAATTTGTTACAAAATGGAGAAGAGGCAACTAGCTATACCACAGTTTTACTGCAACCTGTCTGAATTTGAAAAACAAGCAGCCCTTCTATCCTTTGGGAAAAAAAGTGGTGCCTTTTCAGTATGAGTCATTTTTAACATTTATTTTCATAATGAACTGTAGCAGCATGAGGTCAATCCTTCAGAATACTGTCTTTGTATTTTTTTTTAATTTAGAGGATCTTCTTTTTTCTTTTCAGCTAACATACCATTCCCAGGTGCTTATATCCTATATTGGTGGAAAAAAGTATCAGGATTATTACAGCAATGTTCTAGAGTTATGATGCATATTTATTCTGTTTTGATGACATTCCACTAAGCGCACTCATTTATTTCTATATCTCGATCAGATTGACTTGATTTAATATAAAGCAGAAATGGGGAAAAAGTTACCATTCTGCAACTGTCGATCAAGGCATCTCCTGGCTTTTTCAGTGTAAACTGTCCATCTTTACCTTCAATTAACTGTTCGTCCACCAGGATAGAAGACCCAGACCGGGTTCACTGATAGATCCCTTAATGAAAAATTGTAACAATTAACATTTGAATTAATATGTGTTAAATATATTTTGAGTTGACACTCGCTCTCCAGGCTATCCCTTTGTAACTGTTCAAAAAGTAGCATAAATATCTACCAATACTTAGGTTCTAGACCATACAGATTTCGTACAATCATAAACAAAAATCTGTGCCGCTTTACATTCCACGAATGCAAAACATTTGACCAAAATATATTGTTCAGCTCCATACTTAAGCTATACCTTCACATTCTACTCTCTTTCCCTCTGTTCTAAGCAAGCAAGCATAAACTACAGGAGTACAAAATGTTTTGTGTTTAGCTTCCCCCAATTGCAGAATTGCAACTTGATTGCAGAATAGGAACAGTAGATTCACAGTGGAAACAGGTTGTTCTGGAAAAGTTTCATGCTCCAGATAGTTCAAAATGAAACATTCTGCACATTGTTATAAAATCAACTATAATTGGAAGTTCTTCTCCCCTCATGACTAATTAAATAGAATTAGAGCTGTTTATACTTGAAGGGAAGATCACTAGGAAATCTCAAGTTGTAGACAATAGGTTTGTATGAGTGTCTGTGCATATTCCAGAGGAAAGTAATGTGTATTGCTTCTACCAAAACTATATGGATTATTTACTAGATATTAAACTTGATTTGACATAGCATTTCCCTTTTATTTCTCTATTTAGGTATTAGTAAAGCTCTTCATTTTAATAAGTTCCAAAGAAAAGTACATACCACAATAGTATAGGGTGCTTCTTTCTTCTGTGTCTCCTCAGTGCCACTAGATGTGGAAGGCTCTACAGAGCTTGGGCCTGTTGGAGATGTATCAATGAAATTTTCATCTACTACACGGAAACGTATTTCTTCTCCCATATCCATATACAGGTCATGAGCTCCTTCTTCAGTCTCATATTCCCAAACCCATACCTGTTCTGTTTCATCGCTGGGTACATGAAAAGGTTAAGGCAATGTGGCAAAAAAAGCAAAGAACTGTTCTCTAATGTCCTATAGGGTAGGGCATGGAGTATTGGTTTTAGTTGCAGAAGGACAGATTCTGGTTGAGGGTTAAGATGTTTTAATGGGACCAATAAGCATAGGACAGGGGTAGGGAAACTTGGCTCTTTTATCACTTATGGACTTCAACTCCCAGAATTCCTGAGTGAGCCATAAAAGGTTCCCCATCCCTGGCCTACTGGTTTTTCAGTTGTGGGGGAAATCAATTTTTGATTTGAACGGGACTGTTTAATATATGAATGTAGGACATATGTCCTACATTTGTATATTAAACAGTCCCATATAAAGAATATGTCCTACATTTGTATATTAAACAGTCCCATATAAAGAATATGTCCCACATTTGTCTATTAAACAGTCCCATCCAAGTCAAAAATTGATTTCCCCCACAACTGAAAAACCAGTAGGCCAGGGATGGGGAACCTTTTATGGCTCACTCAGGAATTCTGGGAGTTGAAGTCCATAAATGATAAAAGAGCCAAGTTTCCCTATCCCGGCATTGGAGATAGAGGACTCACATTCACTGGATGTTTTCAAACAAGACTAGGCAATCATGTTTTCCTGTGGATTCCAGATTTAATAATTAGAATCAATAGCTTAAACAGCCTATCTGTAAGTTTTATAATACTAAGGTACTTCATTAAGACATATAATGTGAAGTATTTTGTTCATGTCTCCCTAAATTCATCTCTACTGCGTTTTTACCAAGATAATTCTTGCTGATTTTGCTAAGGCTGAGGCTTGAAATAAAATATTTTCTAACGAAGTAAACAAACTTTAAAAAAAATAAAACAGAAATAAGCCTGATCTGAAAAGAATTGTCATTATTAATTTACTTGGTTGCACATTAAACCATATGTTCAGATTGGATTTGGCATTTTTACCCACCTATCAAGTCCTTCCTGAAGGCCTGGAAAGTGCAGGTGTTGTTTGATGGTGTTCAAGGTATCATTTCTGGATGTAAACCAGGAAAAGCTGCCTTTTACAATTGACTAATGGTGACTTTTTAATGCTGATGGTGTTCAAATGGTGCTCCAGTTGTTTTGCAATCATACTCCAAATGCCATTATGTTTGATACTATCTTTGCCTTCTTTTTCCACAGTCATTCTATTTCTATTTAGAGGTCGTTGATTTTGTGGCTCCCCACCCCCCAGTTCTTTCTCTTCTGCCTCTTACTGCCTATTATTATTATTATATGTACTGTTTTATAAAGCTACTTGAAGGATACAATTTGGCAGGCTGTTGAAGAGATTCTGGAGGAATGAGTATGTCATCAAAGAACCCAAGAGAAACTGTGGAAAGATCAATGAATGAAGTAGCCACCTAAATACATCATAATAGCACCCGATTAAGCCTTAGATTGTCCAATAATATATGTGAGAGGGAAAAAGACAACACTCCTCTAAAAATAATATTGCAGCATTCAAACTAATCAGCTCTGGACAAATTCAAAAGTAATACTTTAATACAGGTAGTCCTCATCTTACAACCACAATTGAGCCCAAAATTTCTGTGGCTAAGCAAGACATTTGTTAAGTGAATTTTGCCTTTTTTATGAACATTCTTGCCACAATTCTTAAGTGAATCACTGCAATTAAGTTAATAAGATGGTTGGTTGTTAAGTGAATTTGGCTTCTCCATTGACTTTGATTGTCAGAATTTTGCAAAAGATGATCACATGACCCTGGAACACTGCAATCATCATAAATATGTCAATTGCTAAGCATCTTAACTCTGATCACATGGCACGGGGATGCTGCAACAGCCGTGTGAAATATGGTCATAAGTTACTTTTTTCAGTGTTGTAACTTCAAACAGTCACTAAACAAACTGCTTTAAGTCAGGGACTGCCTAAATCTAGTTAAAACTGCTCAGCTCTAAGTTTTAAAGTGTATTTACAAAATAAAAACTATATATCAAACATAGCTGACCGCAAATAAAGTATTATTATTATTATATATCAAACATACCACTAATTATGTATTTTACATGTAATACTCAATATTATACTTAAGGTTACAGTGACTACAGGTGCTTGCCACTTCTGGATTAAAGAGACATGTCTGTATAATTTTACAGAAAACCGAATAAAACACTATCAAATAATACAGCAAATATGTTGGTAATTGCTCTCTGATCCAAGATGTCAGTTTGATTCTGCTATCCCCAAAGTTTCTACATAACATAAACTATTATGAGGAAATTTTTAGATCGATTTTAAATGACAGAAATAAAATGGCTGAAACAGTAGACAAGAAATTAATCAATTACACAGGAATCAATTAGTTCCAGATTTGTTTTCATACAAGAAATTCAATAAATCTTGGTTACCTTGGTTACACACCACAACATAAATACTTTCCACTAGTTTTTATTACTTTATGGTACATGGAGGCACATCTTTGAAAAAAAAAATAGTAGTAACTATTGTCATTTTAAATAATTAAAAAAAATAACTTACCATGTACACCTTCAAGACTGCAGCCTTTTATCTCTCCGACCAGAATTTCATCCAAAAATGGATGAAATACAACATATCTAAAATGTACTAAAAAGCAGCAAACATCAGAAATCTGAACAACCCAACCTTACCTATTGTTTATTTTTATTGCATACTGCAATTAACTAATTTAAATACTGATTTTAATAAGAGTTAAATGTAACAGGCTTGAAAGTACTAAAGTGTTTAGCTGTCATTAAACTGTCTTTAAATTTGTTCTAATCCACTGATATTGATCCATTGATGTTACACTATTTTGCAAACTTTTCCATGTCATATATGCATTTTGTACTTTCTATATAGTTTCTCTTTTCCTTTTAAAAGATTAAAGTAATTAAAACAAAAACCAAATTAAAAGATTAAATTAAAACATAGGTCTAATAAATGAATCTTTACTATATTATGAATAAACTGCAGATAGATTTGTCATAGACATGACATTGCAGATATTTCTTTTGTAAACTGAACCTATTAAATGCCCTTTTTAAAATGCATATTTGTATTAGAATAGTAAAAATAGCTCCATTAGCAAGCTGAATGTCTACAGAATGTGTCAATTTGTTCATGATTTCTCAAACATCAATATCTGCCTTAATAATGAAGAATTGCTTAATATTACTATATAACATATTGAATTTAATCATAAGCTAATTCACTATCATACTAAGTTAACAAAAAATTGAACTAGGATATATCATACGATGACAAATCCTTAATTCTCTAGAATAGAACAACAACACATGGAATAAATCATAAATACTTGTACTTTATATTAAGGAAAAATGGTTTCAAGAATAAAATGGAGTTAAATATTTTTAATTAAATATTGAGTTTTGTGGTTTCTCCACAAATCTGAAGAGGTCAAACTTAGATATATCGTTGTCAAACCTTTTGTGTGTGATGCACCATCTCCTGGAAATATGTAGGAATCTTCCAGCTTTGTAATGTCATATAGACAGATACAGAGGCCAACATTATATACAACCTGAATATAGCAGAATGAGAAAGAAATGGGGGAGGTCCAGAGAGCAACAAATTGCAATTGTTAGAAAGTTCATGTAAGCATTATGCTCAAAAGAAAAGCCACATAACTGAATCTAACTAATAAAGTGATTATGTCATTTTTATTTTTAAATATCTCACCCAGGTGATTCCAAGACATGTATAAGAATTAAAAACAAACAAAACCATGACAAACAATCCCTGGAGCAGGAGATGAATAGAAAGAAACATGAATAGCCAGTCCTATTTTCCTTCATTTCCTTTTGTGCTGAACTGCAAATAATTTCTATAGTACTACTATGTATTAACAGTACAAGAAATGTATTAAACAAACTGATGAAAATTTGGAAGCCATTTTTCAAAATATTTCTAATTGAGGAACATACTTCTTAATGTCCACTAATGTCCAACTGTTATCCTGATCACTGTTGCTTGCAGCTTATGGGAATTGTAACTTAAAATAAGGATACCACAAGCTCGCTCATCCCTATTCCAGTAATTTACAACTGCATTTCATAGGTTCTTCAAAATTCACATTTCTATTATGGCATGTTGCCATATACTATAGTCTACGGTATTTCATCAAATATATGAATTATCCTGACATAAAATTATGCATTAATTGCTTGATGAGGTATTTAGAATCAATGTTTAAACTTCTAATAATTACCTTATTAGCCAACTTTTTATTTAACTCTTCAGTGATTGCATCATTAAGCTTTCTTTCAAACTGCCATGGAGGTATTCGCACTGTATCTGTCATTTCTACTAACACAAACATGGTGGCCAGCAAAAGCACTATCCCTAGATCGAAAAAAAAGAAAAGAAATTAAGGCCTTTAGGAAAATAATGAGCATGTTTATCACCTCATCTACAGCGCTGCTATTTGTGAGCTTTGATGGCACTTTTGTCCCTTGTTGGATCAGTAAAATGTTTATATATTTTTTCTCACACTGGTCATACTTGGCATTTTTTCAAATCAATACTAGACCAATATAATTAAGGAAAATGGTGCATTTCCAGAAGACTAGTTGCTGTTTCATCAAGAGAATTGCCATCACTGGATTCCTGCTTATTTTAATACAATAGGGAACTCCATCCAGCAGAGCATTTGAAAGAAATTACCTCAATGAGTAGTTACATTCTGCTAATCATATATAGAACCCAACCCCATTTAGAAATTAGTTCTGTAATATTAAAATTGCTAATTGTTTTAATAACTGACAAAACTTCCAATAAATACATCTTTGCAAAAATCAAGAAGCATAAAACAGAGCAGTAGAATTATGAAAAATAGTTCCAAAATGAGAAAAAATAGATTTCTAAAATTTACACCATTTTTAAAAAGCATTTATAATATACTGTGATAGTAAACAAATGAACATTCATTCAATTTAAGCCTATTTATATGGGAAACAGTACAAACATCAATAAAAAAGGCTATTTAAACTGACACACATATCCCCTTTTAAAGCACTGAGGCACCTTATGAGATTATAAAGAAACATTTTCTAAAGATGAGTTTGCTCTCAAATGGTAAAGCCAAAAGTTGTGGACATTGAGAAATGCTGTTCTAGATCATTTGCAATGTCCTGAATTAAAAAATCAGGATGGTTAGAGCAGGGAAACGGATGTTCAAGTTGTCCCAAAGACGCTTTTTCAAGAGGCAACTGCAATTTCTTGTTTTTCTTTGAAAATGTTTCACTTCTCATTCAAGAAGCTTCTTTAGTTCATCAGCTTTTTTTAAATAAGAGATTCATCTGAAATGGTACAAGGTTCCCTGCCTAAGCAGGAAGGTTGGACTAGAAGACCTCCAAGATCCCTTTCAACTCTGTTAGTCTACTCTATTTGAGAGCTGAAGAAGCTTCTTGGATGAGAAGCGAAACATCTTCAAAGAAAAACAAGACAGTCCAGTTGGCCCTTTGCAAGCCCACCTTTGGGACAATGGAGAATCTCCACTGACATTAAGTTCAAGTTCTTGCTCGTGCGTTAACACGCATGCGGGCAATCTTTCAATCAGAAGATCGAGGAGCTTAGGCAGAGGGAGGAGAAGAGAGAACTACGGCCAGTGGCTTCGGCTTCCTCGTTCCTCTTGGTCTCCCACTTACCCCCATCGTCGGATCCGATCTCCGGGGCAACACTTTCTTCTGGGTCGCTGGTTCTCTTCGACCACAATGGGAGTAGAGCTGCGCAGTTCCACAGACGACCTTTATGTGAGAGACAACCAACCTCCAAACCATCAGCCGTCAGTTGGACGCCAGCATCTTTTATTAAGGCGGGGGTTAACAGCATGCCCCGGAAGCTTTTCCAAAAGTGAACACGCACAAGCCACTAGCGAGTTGGTGTAAAGGAAAGAAAAGATAGGAAGCAAACCCATGCGGTCCGAAGAGTCCGCCCCCAGCAGGTCTACTCCAGTAGTTTGGGGAATTAAGAATTCCCCCTTTCTATCTAATATTTCTAACGGTTATAAGCCTTGCTTCATGAAGCGGTGGTTATATTTTTTTTTCGGTGTAATTGGATAATGTCAGGCTGCTTTTGTTTGAAATACGTTCAGATTTAAGTTCATTGGATTCTACATTGGATATCAGCCTGAATGTGTTTGAAAAGGCATTCAGAGTTCAGCTCTATTTACACCCATGAATTCTGGTATGTTAAACAGGAAGAGGGAAACTGATGTATAAAAATCCACGCCTTGTCAAAAACACTGCCCAAAAAATAACTAATCTCACGGAAACCGTGACGAGATGTTTCAATAACGTTGGTGAGAATCATCAGGGCAATTCTATTTAATCCAGTTCACTGAGTTATTGTGAAAACAACGTGTGCGAGGGAGAAACTTAACATGCCACATTGGCTTTTTAAAGGAAAGAGAGGTTAGAACTTGCTAATCAATCTGTTATTCATTGCTGATGTACCAAAGTATCTTTTTTATATAATCGCGTCTCTTACCCATATTTTTAAACAAAATTATATATTTGCGGAGAAATCCGTGTCATCGTTTCAGCCAACGAATCAGATTTGTCCCACTCCGTTGCAGTGCTCATTCGATTTCCCGCGCTTCTATCGTATTGGGCCGAACTACAATTCCCAGCATTCATTACACCTCTAGGTCCTGATTTGTTTTAATTGTTGGACGTGTGGCTATCGCTCTACTGCTAAATAAATATGTCGATTTTTATTTAACGAGCCAAAGGCACCATCTGCTAACCGTGCTGTGGGAAGTAAGCAGGAGGTGGAATTATCCCTGATATGCCGAAGCATCCGAGTGGTGTGTCGGGAGATTAATAATAGCGCTACCCGGCAATCACAGAGGTTGCCTGCTTGGCGTTCCGGGCCTTCTGGCAGTAGAAGCGCTGGGCTCGTGTGAGGGAGCGTCCAAGATGTCGGCGCCGTTGGCGGTAATTTCAGGTAGGGAGGCTCAGGGGCGAGCTGGAGAGCGAGAGGAGAAGCGGTAGTTTGGTTTCGGGCGTCTTTTTCTTTTCTTTTCTTGGAGGCGGTCCCGATCCCACCCGGTTCCCCCCTTATTTATGGAAAACTATGAATCGTTTTAAGGCGACCTTCCTTTGGTATGAATGAGTTTCTCTCCCCTTTTGCTTCGCGCAGTTGTTTTACTTAGCGGCTCAAAAGTGAGAAGGACATTTACTTCCAGGAAGATTTATGGGGTTGCTGCTTTCCTTGCACGTCGTCTTGGTCTAAAAGTTTACAGGACCGAAAAAAACATCCTTTGGATCCAGCAGGGGCCGCCGATCTTACAACCAACTTTGTGCGGCTCCCGATCAAAAAAATCAAATTTATCTCAGTCAATTTTTTGACTAACGCGTCCGAGAAAGTGGGAAAAGCTACTCTACACGGCTAATAACACTACATTAAAAATAACATAAAAACGAGTAAAAACGGAGAGCGGATCTAGAGGTTTTTTCAAAAAATAGATTCTTCTATGACGAAAATTCGAATTCTTAAAACGTTCTTTAAAGGACCAGAGGAAATCTGAATTATTGTCCTTAGGTTATTTTGATTTGTCAGTGGAACAGTGGTGGTTTTGCATGCCACAATACAGGTAGTCCTTGACTTACAACAATAATGGACAATAATTATTTCTGAAAATAATTCCCAGCGTTGAACTAAAACAAAGTTGTTTTAATTAAGTGTGTGCTTAATTACGGTCTTGGGAAGCCTTGGTCGAACAATGTTGATCCTTATCTTTAAGTCATTTTATTGCATGGGCCCAAGATATCTCAAGAGTTGTCTCACCCCAGTGGAACCAGCCTATCTCATTCGCTACTTAGGATCCTATCTGCCAAAGAATTTCAATTGACAGGGTCCAGGAGCAGAGCTGCTATGATCCCTGCTCAATCTAGAACAATCCTAGCCTTCCAAAAGAGGCTTAAAATTTGCTCTGTCAGCTGGCCTGGGACCCTGAGGTGCTCAATGCTGAGGGTGGCCGACAGGGTAAAGAGAAGATTCCTCACCCCTATGTCACCTGTTCTCTTGGGTTTTAGTTTCTTATTTGGTGTAATTTTAATCATTTTGTTTTATGTTTTATCATATTATAAGCCACCCAGTCACTGTAACAGTGAGATGGCTAGCATATAAATTTATTTAATAAATAAATACAAATACATAAGCTGACAATTCCCAGATACTTTGGAAATGTTCTTCTGGTGTGAATTATTGTGGGATGGATGTGAGCTATCAATAAACAATGGAATTTGTATGCAGGTGATCTTTAGTTAACTGCTATAATTGGGATAGGTTGATGTAATTAAGCAAATCCTGCACCATTATTGTGAGCTCACATGGTCACCATTTATGACCTGCTTGGTTCCCCATTAACTTTGCTTGTTGGAAACCAGCAGCTAAGTTCACCCAGATCACGATCACCTGACTGCAAGGAAGCTATCACAGCTGGAACTTCAAGGGCTGGTCATAGATGCCACTGATTCAGTTCTTTTCTAACTTTGAATGTTGGTAAACAAATGGTCACCTGAATACACCTGAATTTCATATGAATATACCATCCTTTAATGTTTCAGTTACTGGTTTGTGAAGCATGAACTATTCTGTTGTGTTTATTAATGGCAAGAAAAGACAATAATGTATAGGTCATCCTCACTTAAAAATCACAATCGGGACTGGCAACTCCATTGTTCAGTGATACAATCATTAAACAAGACATCTAACCCCAAATTATAATTTTACTGCTGGCTTTCTCATTGACTCTGCTTTTGGCAGTTGGCTATGAACGCACTAATGTCATTTGTGACTGGGATTCTGTGAGGTCGTAAATGCCCATTGGTTGCAAATCATCCAAACTTAATTACATGTCCATGAGAGCATTGCAACGTTCAGAAGTGTGAGAACTGGTTGTAAAGTTACTTTTTCAGCATCTTTGTAACTTTAAATGGTCATTAAACAGGGACAGTTGTTAAGCAAGGATTACTTGTAATCTCATTTAATGTGTGGCTATTTATGACTAAATAAATTATTGTTGTCTGTGGGCAGCAGATCTCTTGCTACTGCCATCACTTATAATTAATATAATTTAAATGCTTTTTGTAAATGTTGTATAATGTAGCAATGCTTTACTAGTATTTTTTTAAAATTGCAACACATACGTATTATTTTCAGCTGCCAGTTTGTGGGGGCCATACAAAGACATTTGGCAAGCAGTGGTTAACGCTATATGGAAAAGGCAATCTGAAGCAATACATGTTCTTGATCAGATTTTAAAGAAACACAAAGCGGACTTTATATCACTCTTCAGAAATCCGGTAAACAATTTTTTAAAAAATTTCATTAGGTGTGTAAAAAAGAATTGTGTTGATATTATTCTTGTTCCTTAAAGTATGCTTTGAATTAAAGCTTTATATAATGTTGTCTGAATGAAGCATTTTAATAATATTGCAGTAAAAGTAATATTTCTTAATAGACATTTACATCACAAACTGATATTAGATAAGGGGAAGGGGTTTTTGATAGTATTTTTAAAGAAGAATATAATATTGCTCAGTACAGTCAAGTTAAATGGGAATGACAGATCACTTCAGAAAAATAGCCCAATAACTAAAAGAATGATTTCTCTGGTAAGAAAATAGCTAAATGATCTGTAGAAAAGCAAAATTCTGCTCTAATTTAGAAGATGGGTACTGTTATTGATACCCATTACCCATCATGACTTGGTTTTTAGTGAGAAGGTTAAGTTACCAAAGTTAATCTTAGCTATGCCACATTTAACACTCCCTGTTAATGACAAAAATATTGGCCAGTTTTTTTGGCACATTTTAGATAGTATGTTTAAGTGTGAGCAAAGATAAGTTTTATTTTAAATGTGTATTTTATGAAAGCTGAGATCTCTAATCTAGATAATACCTGCAAAACAGTATGCAGTTATATATTATCCATCAAATAAGGTATACGTGCTAGGTACACATAGTCAGGATATCTTGTATCCATGTTAACCAATAATCCATACTTCACAGAGCATGGTGAGTAGAGACATAAAAAAAAAATCCAAAATTAAGTACACATTATTACAATATAGTACAATGTACAATCAGTCAATTTAAATCAGTTATAGATTATGTTTTAATGTATTAAAGATGTTAGGAAATGTGAAACATATTGGAGTTTGGTCATTGATTTAAAATATTCTATGCACATGTTTGCAGAATTTATTCATGGGCAGAATATTATGGGAAATTCTGAAATGGTCGATGTTTTTATCAACTTTTCCGTTCCGGAAAAATTACCAAACCACATTCCGATGCATTCCAGAATAAAAGTAGACTAATTCAGTATTCCCCAGAACATTCTATCCATAAAACGGTTAGTTTTGTATCTCCTAGTACAATATTTTGTAGCTGTGTTTTAGTATAATTTTTTCAATGTATTTTTGAGAATAATTAGATATTTTTTAAAAAAATATTTTGTAGCCGAAGAATGCCCAACAGCATGAAAAAGTTCAGAAAGCAAATACTGAGGGAGTTGCTATCCAAGGCCAACAGGGCACCCGATTGTTACCAGAACAGCTCATCAAAGAGGCCTTTATACTGAGTGATCTTTTTGATATTGGAGAATTGGCAGCTGTTGAACTTCTCCTGGCTGGTAAAGTGATAAGATCCAACTGTCATTTCTTTTATTTTCTGATTGTGTTCTCATAGTTCAGGATTCCTAAAATGCCAAATGCTCAAGCATATTGGTCCCATCCCTGAGGGAGATATACCTGGTGGGACCCAGAAAAAGGGCCTTCACTGTGGTGGCCCCCTCTTTCTAAAACAACATTCCCCCAGAG